TTCGCATCCCTGTGAGCAAGCTGGGGACCTTCTGATTGGAGAAGTTGATCATGTTCGGGCGATTTCCATTTCCTGTGAGCAAGTTGGAGACCTTCTGATTGGAGAAGTTGATCATGTTCGGGCGATTTCCATTCCCTGTGAGCAAGTTGCGGACCTTCCGATTCGAGAAGTTGATCATGTTCGGGCGATTTCCATTCCCTGTGAGCAAGTTGGGGACCGTTTGGTTTTTGGAAGAAGAGAAGTTAATCAGGTCCGGATGATTCCCGTTCCCTGTGAGCAAGTTGGGGACCTTCTGATTTCTGCCTCCCGGAGGAAAGCGCCGGACATTCCCGCTGCTGAATGACCGCTGCGACATGGGATTCTGCCCTTGGGTGTTGCCCGAGCGCATTGCTCTGATGGCGTCCTCGTGATATGCTCTGGGAACCGTACCGTTCTGACGGCGCTCGCTCTCCAGGTACCTGTACCTGTGAAGTTCCTCATTTGAGGGGCGATCTTCGTCAATCCAGTCTCCACCAATGAAGACTGTGTCTTCAGCAAGCACGTGCCCGTTGCCAAGCACGTTGTTGATGTTCCGAGGAGTCAGCGCAGAGGGGGCAGGGGGACGAAAGCGTCGAACATTTCCACCGTCGAACCGCTGTCGCGTAATCGGATTCCTGCCTCGCGTGTGCCCCGAGCGCATTCCCCTGATTGCGTTCTCGTGATACGCTCTGGGGACCGTACCGTTCCGTCGGCGCTCGCTTTCCAAGTACCTGTACTTGTGCAGCTCCTCGTCCGAAGGACGGTCCTCTTCGAGCCAGTCCGGACCAATGAATGTCGTGTCGGTTGCAAGCACGTGCTCGTTGCCAGTCACGTTGTTAACGTTCGGGGCGGGCGGCAGATCCATCGGATCGGCTGGGTACGTGTTGTTCTTGTTGTCCTTGTTCTTGTCCTTGGGGCTAAAGATTTTGGAGGACAACCACGTGTGGATGCTGTTGGGGGCAAAGTGCGAGCGGGGCTGAGGGTTCGGGAGTTGTGCCGAACGATGCCAGGGGAGCGGACCAATCTGGGAACTGGTCTGTGCCGACGTGAGCGGACTGGTATGTGCCGACGTGAGCGGACTGGTATGTGCCGACGTGAGCGGACTGGTCTGTGCCGACCAATGCTGGGTGAGCGGACTGGTCTGGGGACTGGTCTGTGTCGAGCGTGTCGGATGGTGCCTCTGGGGACTGGTCTGTGTCGAACGTTTCGGATGGTGCCTCTGGGGGCTAGTCTGTGTCGACCGGTGCCCCGGTCTCGCAGTCCGCAACGGCCCGCGACTTGGCCCCCACTTTCCCAGGCACCGTTTTGTATGCTGCCAGCAAAATTTGTTTGGGTGGGGCGGCTGCACCGCAAGCCCTCACGAGTCTTGCAAGAACAGCGCCGACCCCCTCGCGGGTGCTGGGGCTTTGGTGCCACATGTTTCTTCACATGATTCGGGCAGTAAAGGCCACCGTCTATTGCCCGGCAGGACGTCTTTCGCTTACAACGCCGCATAATCGTCCCCCGACACCGTGGACAACTCGCCATGTCTGATACTTAGGGTATGGGAAATAATCACGGTGAGCATGGGCCCATTAGTCTGATCCCGGGGATGTTCCTCGGGGTAGGCGGTCCGTCTGAACTCATGTTGATACGGCTACGGAATGGGTATAAAGTGCTCGAAGATGTTCGAGTGCGCCACATCCACTAGTTCTTGTGAATCTTATTACATGGTTGAGGACGTCCACAGAAGCAGCATGCCCATGCATTTCCATGTTGCAATGTGTGTGTAAGGAACTCATCATTATGTCGATCATGATCCCACATCATGCCAAAATGAATTCAAATGAATACACAGGCTCCCCAAGCAATGAATATCCTTGTCACTGTCACAACAGTTCTCCACTATCTCGGATGGGAAGCAGTTTATTATAACGAATATTCTAATTGCCAGCATCTCGACGGTTCTTCCTACCGTACCTCGAGCCTCCTCCCCAAGTTCCACCACCCCTGCACCGGAACGCAAAGCTCTGTTACCATAAAAGATGAGGGCGTACAGAGAGGACAACACATTGCAACATATTGTAAGATGGTGCAATGTGCAAGTGATGATCGTGTTTTTCACCTGGCAAGGCTCCACGACAACAAACAGCGCCTGGTCATCACCCGAGATCAGTGCCCTGCAGACGAGGAGTGTGAGATCCTCAGAAGCTGCACGTCTGCCGAGGCCACTGGAGCCATACATCGATACGTTCAGAAACAAGAAGACATGTAATCGTACTAGTCTATGCAGCTCCTGGCCGTACCTGCATCGCTTTCTTCTTCGGCCACTTGTTCACAAGGTTTGTGTTGTGCTCCAGAATGTAGGAGTTGTAAACCAGCATCCCTGTGTTGATGGTCGCCCTCTGCTGTGTTTTGTCGAATATCATCATGAGTTTGTTGATCTGCTCGGAAACAGAGGAGTTATCCGGTCCAAGGAACTCCTCGCGGCCCTTCAGGCCATGTGTGTTGTACTTGAACTCGTCAGAGCACAGGTGATTGACCTGGTGAAAGCGGTCCGTCAGGAACGTGGTCTCGGCAAAGAACTCCGGCCAGCGCTGCAAAAGCATCAGAATGTTGTCAGAACCTGTGCCACATCCCTCCAAGCATCCAAGCATCCAAGCATCCATGTTGTCAGAGAGTTGCAAGACGTGCCCCTTGCCTCCAGGGACAACTTACCCCCTCGCAGTAGCGCGACAATTCGCACGCATTGTCGTAGATGACAAAACGTGGGGGCCGGTGCTCGAAGCGGGTGACGAGAAACGTGAATACGTCCCTCAAAGACTCGTGGCGGAGAAGCACATGAAGATAGTATACAAACGATGCTTGCATGTGACGACCATGACCCCGTCCGTCTCGTTCTTCTCGGGCTTGGGCGGTTTCTGCACCAGTGAGTTGCCATGTCAAAAACAACTCCTTGCACGCGCAATCGCATCAACACAACGTACACGCTGAGCAGGTGCGCTCACGCTGAGCAGGTGTGCTCGTGAGGGTGAGTACGTGTACGTACCTTTGCATCCTCTTTCGCCTTTGCCCGCTTCACCATGTTTGCCACCTTCTTCTCCGCTTCCTGCAGAGGGAACGTTTGTGTTAGACGTAGTGGCAGTTTGATTACGCAAAAACCTTGTAACTTCTGGTATGGAAGAAGAGCAAGAAGTTACAAGACAGTCAAGCATTCTGCTCTGGCATGGTTTGGGCACATACACAGATGACAGGCAAATTTCAAAAGGTATTGACAGAATTGAAAAGCAGAGTTAGCCAACCTTGAGACAGCCTTCAAATGCCTTGTGCTTCTGTTCATCCGTAGTGGCAGTTAATTACAGAAGGAACAACATAATCTAGCTGGTATGAAGAAGAGCACAATATGACAATGCAACCGCATGGGCCTCACCGTCAGTCTCACCCCCAGTTCTTTTAGCTTGAGGATCTGTTGTTCGTGCGTCATGCACTTGTCGCCCGTTCGCCTCCTATGCACATGCCGTCAACGTCATCTCGTCCTGCAAACTGGGGAACGTCCCGGTACACCCGGTGGTAGACATTGCTGGAACTCAGCCTCTGCTGATTGGCCACGTAAGCCTCCCCGGCCAGCACCCCCTCTGTAGTTCCCCGGCACGGGCCATACATGAGCTCCCGAATGACGCCTACGAGCCTCTGCGCATCGGCTACGGTCACAGGCTGCACGTCCCCACTCCCGTCCAGCCAAATCTCCCCCACGGTGACGCCTAGGGCTTCGCAGAGCATCGCGGACGCTTGGTGGCAGGCGATGTAGTCCTTGACCTCAAAAGAGAGATGAAGGAGGCACTGGAGAAGTGGGGCAAGGGCCTTCAGCGTCTGGACGGTCACCTTGTAACCCGTGCCTCGCCGTGCAAGGCCGTTGGACGGACCGGTGTCCGTCAGCTGGAACCCCGTCTTCTGCTGGTTGCCCCCTCTTGCGCTCAACAAGACGAGCCGCAAGGACGGCGCGTGGACGTGGAGGACCCGGTCCCATTCGACACTGATCTCGATGAACTCCAGGCGCCGGGCCAATTTGAGGGCCACCAAAAGCTGCACGATGATGTCCTGAGCGCCGTATGGGAGGAGGACTCGGTCGCTGTGGATGTAGCCAAGGTGGTAGAAGAGCGGTGCATAGTCAGGGTTGGAGCAGGCGGGCTTGTCGGTTCCACCGATATGCTCGATGAGGGTCCAAACGCACGAGGGAAGGTTGCTCAGTTCCTGCACGACGGCAGATGACAAATGGGGTGAAGTGGCGCAGTGATACAAATTGTGGTCGCTCACAAAACCCCTCGATTGCGCTGGGATCACACAACCTTCATTTCATCTTTCATCCTGCGCAAGAATCACTGACCTGCAATTCGTCCGCCTTTAGAGGGGCAGGCGGCGGTGCCGATTTGGTCTGGAGTTCTTTTCCTACGTAGGTCTTCGAGACAGGGACGTGACCGCTCCACCGCTTCAACAGTCCTCTCACGGTGGCGTTCTCCACAACCTTCACAGCACCCTTGAGGGTGGTCTTCCGCTCGTCGTGATCATTATGGACGTCAGGGGTCACCACCCGCTCGGGGAAGGGGTAGGTGATGGGTAGAAGCTTCACAGGGGTCTTCAAAACAGGATCTTTGAACCGGTGCACCATGTGAGCCTCTCTGCAATCAATGTAGAGGGCCTCTGGATGCTCCCCGCAATCAGGGCACACCGGCCACGGCTGCTGCTCCTGGGGATCGTTTGTGGGGGACAAGGGGGGTGGCACGGGCAGGGGAGGCGTGTCCGCCCAGGGGGACCAGTCCCGTCCGCGGGGCCCCCAGTACTCGTCAAAGTCGTCACCAGTGAATTTCGCCTGCACGGGGACATCCGTCAAGCGCAACTGAAGTGCGACCGATGCGTGTTTATCGACCAGAAGACGTCGCAGCCGCACACTGGATCGCCCAGTCGCCAAATCTAGCGTACACTTAAATTGATGGCACCAAAAATGCTGCACTTCGAGCTACACAGGACTCGAGAGATGCCTCAGAACGTCAAAAGGCTCATAGGTTTATACTCCGGGAAAAGCTGTGCACTGTGAAGAGGCCGAATTTGCCAATACGCTGCGGCGGTCTCGCGATCTCGGCTTATCTCTCCAGCTTCCCCCGAGACGGGAAGTATCGGAAAGATACCTGACGTTCCCTTTGAAAAAAGTCACACATTAAACTTCGAAAATTTCGTACCTCTGGAGGATTCAGTCGGTGCTTCAGGTCCGCCCACCTCATCTCGTCATACTTGCTTGCTTTGTCCTCCACCTTTCGTCCTGAGTTTGTCAACCTTGGGGGAGCCGAGGAGTACACCACCTGCAACCCAACCCACAATCTTCAGAGAGGGCACAGTTGGATTCGGGATCGATAGGAATCGTCCAAGGACAGCACAAACCGTAAGCATCCAAGGGCATAGAAACGCACACACCCACCTTGTACATGGGCCACAGCTCCAAGGCTTTGGTGTGCGTTGTATAGCCATAGACACGCCCACGCCACCACTGTTGGTCCTCAGAGAACAGCCTCCACACGGTCCGATCGATCAGGGTCTTCGGATCAGCGGGCTCGGACGCGAGGACGGGCACCTCACGCAACAGCTCTCGGATGGCAGGGTTCCACAGGTTGGCGGCAGGCTGGGCAGGAATTTCAGGCCGGTCTGCGGCGGCGAGGACCCTATAGAGGTGACTCTGGTAGAAGTTCTTCAATCGCCCACGACCCAAGGGCGGGACTGCAAGAAACGTTCAAAGTCCGTTCCATCAAGTGGAGGGTTGAAGGCAGGATGGCGATGTCATCAGAAGCCTTTGGCAATCCCAAACCCTCATCAGAAGCCACTTGTCAAACCCCAAACCTCGGCAGTTCCAAACCCTCTTTGTCAAATCCCAAACCTCGGCAGCCTTCTCAGACCTTCC